TATGCTACAGAAATACCCCCATAGATAAATATACCAAAACTATTCTTCCACCTATTAGGACTGATTTGCGGAATATCTTTGTATTTTTTACAACCCCAATTCCAAAAAACGTGGTACGCTGTGTAAAATGTAAATACAAACAGAATTCAATGATTTGGAAATCTCACAAACCCATATGTTATTCACAACAGAACAGAAAAAAATAAGAATTTGATGGCCACAACACGTCTCAAAAAAGTTGGGACGGGGCAACAAAAGGCTGCAAAAGTAATTGTTACTAAAAAGAAACAGCTGGAGGTTAATTGGCAACAGGTCAGTAACATGATTGGGGATAAAAGAGTATCTTATAGCGGGAGAGTCTTTCAGAAGTAAAGAAGGGCAGAGGTTCACCAATCTGCGAAAAACTGTGCCTACAATTTGTGGTGCAATTTCAGAATAATGTTCCTCAATGTAAAATTGCGAAGACTATGAATATCTCATCATCTACAGTACATAATATCATCAAAAGATTCAGAGAATCTGGAGAAATCTCTGTGCGCAAGGGACAAGGGTGAAGGTTTATGAGATTTGCAAATCATTGCATTCTGTTTTTATTTACATTTAACACAGCGTCCCAACTTTTTGGAATCAGGGTTGTATGAGAAAGGGAATATAGGTACTGTGCACAAGCCTACAGAATAGGCAATGCGCACACCAGCAAAATCGGAACAGTGAGTACGAACCTGCAGTGCTGTGTGTCAGGCAAGTGCTGATTAGTTGAGCAGGGAAGTGTAGCCAGTAGTACTGAGGTTGGGACCTGAGCCGGTGTAGTTTTTCCCCCCAGCTAGACATGCTGGACTACTCCAGCACTTTATTTCTATTTCTACTTGCACATACTATTTTCTAGGGAAGTCAGTTCAGTCAGATTCCCCCAAATGTAAACAAATAAGTCATTTAAGCCTTGTTAAGAGAGTCTTTTTTTCCCTTTTAATGAACACAATAAATAGATTGATGGCTTTCTCTTGCAAAAGAAAATTCACACAACAGGAGTGCTTAGAACAAACACAAATAACTCTTTTTACCTGGTGAACATGCCAATTAACACAAACAAGGAAGGAGACGGTTTTGCAAAAAGTGTAATTCAATTCTGGCAGCAATTTATTTCTCTTAATGTTGAGTTCATCTAGGTGAGCTTTAATACAATCATGAGTTTCGGAAGCACGATCCGCGCTTTCTTAGTCCAAAAATATACAATTAATTTGGCAGAATACTAATCATTAAGTAGAGATCATGTCCTGGAATCTTTATTTTCCACTCAATCCACTAAACTATTTTGTTAGAAGAATAGGCAATATACAAAATTTTCAGGGTAATGTCACTACAAATTATCCTCAAGGACAGTGAAAACATCTCTTTATCACATCCACGCCTTTCACTTTCATAAGACTTTTTTGTAGAGCTGCAACAACTAATAGCTAAAATAATCGATTATGAAACGAATCTCATTATTGATTAGTTGGTCTGTAGACGGTACATTTACTCATATATATATATATATATATATATATATATATATCTCACAAAAGTGAGTACACCCCTCACATTTTTGTAAATATTTGATTATATCTTTTCTTGTGACAACACTGAAGAAATGACACTTTGCTACAATGTAAAGTAGTGAGTGTACAGCTTGTGTAACAGTGTAAATTTGCTGTCCCTTCAAAATAACTCAACACACAGCCATTAATGTCTAAACCACTGGCAACAAAAGTGTGTACACCCATACACAATGCATCACTCTCAACCAAACCACACCTCCCTCACATTTTTTTAAAGCAACTTTAATTGAAGAACATACGAACTGTGACTGTACAGTTGTACATGTCTGTACAAATTTTTATTTGATATATGTTAAAATATATTGTAGTTACTAAATAAAGTTAATATGAAATATAACACAGAAATGTGGTTGATTGAATGGAAGCTAGAATTAATTTTTTTTGAACCACAGTATTTGAAATGTCTAAAGATTAACTTTAAGGTCTAAATCAAAATTGAATGAAAACTGTTCATTACAAAAATAATTTTAGGAAATAATTTAATCATTAGCAAAAATAATTCACTAAGATAACATACTAAACATAGCAATTTGGCACTGACTGGAGTGCATTCCACCTCTGCTTCTAGGGGACATTTAGTGTACAAACAGAGCAAAGCATACATTAAAGGACACACACACACACACACACACACACACACACACACACACACCGTTTTCATTGTATGTATTAATTCAGCCATACATAATTGTCTCTCTAAACTGGCATCAGTTTTCAAAAGACATTCACTGGGTCCTTTTAGTTTTTGAAACATGATTAGCAAATTGGGGGACATCTGGTTCACGACGAGAGCAAAACAAATGTATATACACATACACTCCAAAAAATTTCATGGTTAAGTGATCTTACATTGTTGCTTGCTTCACTTGGCTTTAGTAATAAACACACTTGGAGTCAGAGAGTCAACTGGAGGAAAGCGACACAGTTCCTGTTATAAAGTGAAGCATGTGCGGCTCAGTGGCACTGAAGGTTTTGTCAAGGTGACCGTGATCTGACTGAGAGCTCAATCCCCTTGTGTGCTGGGGTGGAGTCTGACGTTGCTGTCAACAGCTCTGTCAACAGTACCTAATGAGACTGCAGACTGATCTTACGCTCACGCACAGATTCACACATGCAGAACTGGAGCACTGCAGCTACCCCATAATTCTTTATCCCACTCCAAGTCCACCATCGCAGTGTTTCCTCTCCTGGGACAAAACTGAAATCAGTGTGTACCTGCTGGTAAATTGCTGATCTCTCTCAACCCTCACAACAATTTTGTGACAGTGTAGTGGGAGCACAAAACACATGACTGATCAAATTCACAATCATACTTATTTCCACCAGATGGAAGGATGAACATTGGGGCAATGAGCATAGTATCTTTATCTGTCTAAAGGCAATTCACGGTAAAATATATCATATAACATTTGTTTTGTTGCACAAGTTTGTAGGCACAAGCGTTTCAATCCGCACTGGCAGTGTCAGAGACGTGTTAAACTTCAGCCCTCTCATCACCCCTATTTTCTATTTGTATAAGTAAGCATAAGCTCGAAAGTAATCACAAGCTCTAATATTTGCAATTATGATCTACAAAGATGTCATGATTGTACAACCTATAGATTTATAGAAAAGTGTTTGTATGGTACAAGTAGCCAGAAAAAGAAGATGTTGTTTATTTACCGTTCTCATGGTCTCATGCCACCTTTTTATTGTGTAGTAATTACCATTGCCCCTGCTGTGTTTTGATTGACGTGTCTGCACATTTGGGTGTTATGGTTTTTATTATTTTATATATATATATATATATATATATATATATATATATATATGTGTATATATTATTCACTGCCATTTTTGTGCACCTGTTTTTATTGCTCCCTTTATTCCTGTATTTTTTACTATTGCTCTTTTTGATGTGGTACATATCTTTATTTAAGATTCAGTGTGTTTTTGTAGATCTGCAATTCTGCTTTTAATTTTATTGTTATGCTGCTGTAACATAATATCCCTCATGGGAACAATGTCTGTCTATCTATCGATCTATCTATCTATAAAAATAAAGCTTGCTGTGGTACAGCGTGAATGGAGTGGATGGTTATGTTATACTCAGCCACAACACTTACATTGGTCCAGTGTGAATTCAGAGATTGTACCTGTCCATTACTCTTTGAATAAATATAAGCTGACAGCAGCCTTTACACGGAAACGTCCACAAACAGCAAAGCACGCTGACTATTACTGTTAACCCAGAGGGAAAATCCTACCAAGTCTTTTTCATATCTATAGGAGGTGAAGCCCAAATGTGATATCGCATACCAAATAATCTGCACTCTGGCCCTGACTTACAGCGATTTGAGTGTGTTACTCCCCGGCTTGGGGAGTAACAATACATGTAACAATATTATGTAATCAGGATTAAATTCTAATCTATTAAATGGTAAATATATATTATCCAAAGCGCTTCACACTGTGTCTTTCACTATTCACACACACACACACACACACACTCAGTGGTAGCAGAGCTGCCATCCAAGGCGCTAACTTGCCATCGGGAGCAACTTGGGGTTCAGTGTCTTGCCCAAGGACACATCGGCATGAGGAGTCACCCAGGCCGGGAATCGAACTGCCAACCCTATTTGTGGACACCCGATCCACCCGATTGGTGGACAACCCACTCTACCAACTGCGCCACAGCCAGTTGCATTAAAAAAACAACAGGTACATTTCATTAAAAAAAAAATAATTAAAATAATTTTAAAAAAGGAATACAATAAGGATTAGTTTTTTTTTACTTAAAAGCAAAGAAATGAATCTTTCGACATAACACTATAGAAACAGCTGCTTGATTATAGTTCTGGTTCACTCTTGGAAGTCGTGGCTCCTGGTGAATGTGCAAATAAATTATGCACAAAGTTAATTTGGTAGATATGAACACAAACTGTTCTCTGAAATGCTTTTGTTAAGGTGACCATACATCCTCTTTTTCCCGGACCCTAAAAAAGCGTCCAAATTTGAGAAAATGTCTGGGACGTGGCTTTAGTTTCATTATGATGTGCTTATGGTGTAATACTGTGTGCACATATGTGCATTGTTTTAACCCCTCTCTGTAATTCTCTCCTTCTTGCACACTGATTGGTCTATTATAAAAGGCTTGTAGCAACTACTGGCCAAATTCCTGCCTCTCAACCATTAGCCTACTCTCAGTGAACGTGCGAAGGTGAAGCTCTGTTGTGTACACATCTACATAGCAGCAAATCATAGCTGTCCTTAGTCGAAACAATGCCCATGGCCATAAAAGGTCATTTTTAATTTCATGTTATCACATTGCTTCATATTACATGGCCATTCAAATGTGTAAATGATGATAGAAGATACACTCGTGGCATCTGATGCTATACATCTTGGCCAGTTAGCTAGGTCAGGGGTTTGCTCCGTGGTTAAGACGTTGGACTACTGATCAGAAGGTCATGAGTTCAAAACCCAGCACTGCTGCTGGATCATTGAGCAAGGCCCTCAACCCTCCAAAGCTCAGTTATATAAATGAGATAAAGTCAGTTATATAAATGAGGTAAAGTCACTCTGGATACGGGTGTCTGCCAAATGTCATAAAAGATTAATGCCATGTTATTTTATTCCATGGATATGCAAAAGGATGTAGGAAAGATGTAAAAACGTGGGCATAGTGCAACCAATTTTATTATATATATTTATGTCACCCTAATAGTGTCTTTTTCAGTGTATTAATAAAGTCTGCATTCATAGTAGCACTGTTTTAACATTAAAAGCAAGCTTTCCGGGGGAAAAAAAAAAAGAATAGTACATCTCCTAGTTGTATCTAATATGAATCCGTTTGTATCCATTTAAAACACATTATCTGTTCATTCTGAATAATGTACTCATATTCAGTTATATCCTTAGTGCTAAGCAACAGTCAGCAATTGTATCCTACAGAGTGTACTGGTAGATTTACTTAATCAACTGGCCACTCAGTGTATCTTCAGTACAGACAAGTCAACACAAGCACAGTGGTTGCTCAGTGCTTAAGGATTTGTGCAAATCCCTGCACCACCACTGCCACTGTTGTGTCCTTGAGCAATATCCTTCAAGCTCATCTTCTCAGTTGTTTCCGGTCTCAGCTGCAAGTCATTTTGGATAAAAAGCATCAGTCGAGTGAACAAATGTTAACACAGAACATGTGTTCCTGTGAATTCAAAATGATGAACACAGAAAGATGTAATACCTCACACAAACAACTCTACACTGCATGTACAGCTGTGGTCGGAAGTTTACATACACTCATCATGAACATGAAGGTCAAGGCAATAATTGGGCTTTCAAAAATTTCTTTGAACTATTCCTTTTCTGAGGCAGAATGATTGTACAACATACATAAATGTAAATGGTAAATGTGCACTTATATAGCGCTTTTATCCAAAGCGCTTTACACTGTGTCTCATTCACCCATTCACACACACACTCACACACCAATGGTAGCAGAGCTGCCATGCAAGGCGCTAACTTGCCATCGGGAGCAACTTGGGGTTCAGTGTCTTGCCCAAGGACACTTCGGCATGAGTCACCTGGGCCGGGAATCGAACCGCCAACCCTACGATTAGTGGACAACCCGCTCTACCACCTGCGCCACAACCGCCCCATACTTGTTGTTTTTTTTTTAATAAAAAAAAACAACAAGTATTTGATTCACAAGTTTTAATTTATTTGAGGTTTTCTGTAGTCAACACGAGGTCAAAATTATAAATATACACCAAAAGGTCAAAAATATACATACAACACACCTAATATTTAGTTGAATGTCCCTTAACGAGTTTCACCTCGAGCAGACGTTTTCGGTAGCCATCAACCAGCTTCTGGAAGAATTCTAGTTGGATATTTGACCACTATTCTTGGCAGAATTGGTATAGTTAAATGACATTTGTTGGTTTCCTGGCCCTGACTTTTAAACACAGTTCACAAATTTTCAATAGGGTTGAGATTTGGGAAGGCCATTCCTAAAGCTTAATGTTTGCCTGCTTTATCCATTCTACAACCAGCTTTGATGTGTGTTTGGGGTCAATGACCTGTTAGAACACCCAAGTTTCAACCGTTTGGCCGATGGTTTGAGATTATGCTGAATAATTCTAAGGTAGTTCTCCTTCTTCATTATTTCATCCACTTTGTGCAATGCACCAGTTCCACTGACAGCAAAACAGCCCCAGAGCATAATGCTACCACCACCATGCTTAACATGCTTAACTGGTCATTGTGGCCAAACAACTCAATCTTTGTCTCATCTGACCATAAAACTTTCCTCCAGAAGGACTTTGCTTTGTTCATATAGGCTTGAAGGTGTCGCTTTTGGAGCAGGGGCTTCTTTCTTGGACGGCCGCCTTTCAGTCCATGGCGATGTAAAACGTGCTTGACTGTAGACAAGAGACACTGATGTTACAGCAGCTTCCAGTTCATTTTTTTTTATTAGTTCCCCATGTATTAATATCCCTCCTCTTCTCAATGACATGGTTTTATTTTTTTTTTAGTCTTGTCCCAAGTCAATAAGAACAATAAGTAAGTTTTATTTCATGCACCGCAGAGATTGTCCCACACTTTCATACTTGCTAAAAGGATGAATAATGAAGAAGAAAACTTCTCATTCTGTAAGAAAGAAGCAAAACCATTCAAGTATAATCTTCTATAATTACTGATATAAGATAAGGGTACTTGTGCTAGTTATGTTGATTCACATTACAGGCAGTTCTAAAGTAAAAAAAAGGGGGGGTTCCAATGCAAGCTGGACAGGGAAATAGCCCCTAATTCCAGACACCTCTCTACTTCTTTTATATCAGAAATGATATTAGTTCATTCTTTTGCTACTTACTACTTTGCACTGGCAAATTAAAGCAGTAACTTCCCATTACTTTCCAGTAGTCTGTAATTTTCCAGAAAATAAGAGAAATATGACAGATGCTCCGTTTGAAATGTTCTTTATGACTTATGGTCACTATTAATTATTTCCCGTATCATTACTGTTTTTTTTATATGGACACATTTTGAGGCTCACAAAGGGTCTCATCTACAGCCTGAGAGATTTAAATTCTGAAGCGGCCCTTTTAAATTAATTCAGCGATTATTCTCACAGTGGGCACAGTTTACACATGGGTGAAGCAAATAACAGCTGAAAGCCAGTCACAGATCACTAAAGGAGACAGGAGGTTTATGGAAAACTGCACATGCCTCAGAGCACTGCCACCCGTGCATGGTATGGAAAGCGAGTCCACTCAATGTGTCCCACTTACATATATATATATATATATATATATATATATATATATGCAGAAGAATAAAAAAATGCAGATCATCTCCAAATGCTGTGTGAGCTAGTGTTGATTTTAGATGAATGAGGACAACATGATTAAATATGAGAGAGAGGAGGGACAGGAGATGTGCATAGGGAAGAAAGGGGATTTTCAGGACAGTTGGTGAGTTTGAGAAAGCGAGGCACCACAGAGCAGAGACAGGGGGTGAGGAAACATTTCGACCCCATCAGTATGTGTTCCCTCCAAGCCAGTCAGACTTGACAGTCACATTCAGAGGAAGGATGCAGCACAAGTGGAAATGATCTAGGGCATGAATCATATTCAGCCTGAGCTGAAGGGCCGTAAGAACAGTTGCCTGCTGAAGAAATAATGTGCAGGCTTTGTTTGGGCAGCATGATGCATCTCGTGCTTACAGTATACCATCTAACCACAACTCCTCCTCCCATCTGAGCAGGTCAAACACAGTTAAAGTAAAAGGAGGAAAGTAAAGGAAAGACATGACTATAAAAGCCTCAATCTCACAGTATCAGAATTAAAGAAGCAAACATCTTAAAAGAAACTATCAGCAATAAAACGCCTACACAGGTTTTCAGTCATCCGTGTTATTTTGAAATAATAACACCAGCAGAAGTATTTGAAGGCGGCTAACCATGCGGTATAATCCTGAAGACATTTCACTAGTTCTATTCAAACTGAACCAATGGAAACTGTTTTATATATATATATATATATATATATATATATATATATATATATATATATATATATATATATATATATACACACATATATATATATATATATATATATATATATATATATATATATATATATATATATATATATATATATATATATATATATATATATATATATATATATATATATATATATATATATATATATATATATATATATATATATATATATATATATATATATATATTAACACATCAATGTACACTCATCAGCCACTTTTTTAGGAACACCTACAAGTCAAGAGTTAAAGTTAATGTTCACATCAAAAATATGACCTCAGTGACTTGGTGGCAGATAAGCTGGTTTGAGTACTTTAGTAATGGCTGGTCTCTGGAATGCATGAAATGCACAATAGTCTGCAGAGTTTAACCAGAGAAAAGAAACGTCTTGTTGATGACATAGGTCAGAGGAGAATGGCCAGACGGGTTCCTTTTGAAAGGAAGGTTCAAATAACCACTCTTTACAAACATGGTGAGCAGAAAAGCATGTCAAAGGCACAACATGCCACACCTGGAGATGGATGGGTTACAGGATAAGATCACATTAGTTTCCACTCCTGTCACCCAAGAACAGAAATCTGACTACAGTGGACCCAGTTTCACCAAACCTGGATGAGACAGATGAAGATTGGAAAAACATCACCTGGTATGTCCAGTTAAGGTGAGCTTGTTGCCACTATTGAACAGTATATAAAACCATTTCAGAGTCATTACTAATCTTCAAAACGCAAAATGTATTTTACATGGTGTCTTCAAACTTTTGGCCATATGGTGTAATAAGTGCCATAAAGAACATGTACAAGATGTCCTTACTTATAATGAGGATGATGGCGAGGGAAGAACCCAAAGATCTTAAAGATTAAAGATCTTAATCAAAGATTTTGATTAATTCTTAGGGTTGTGAACTTTCAATTAAATACCACTTCAGTAAGAACAAGCTGTTGGGGAGAGTTTTGCCAAATAAAAAAAATATATAGTTAAAATAAATGTTTAAAGAAATTTTAATAAGCAAGAAGGAAATTTTAAACCCATTTTCTTCCAACTATACTGTTGCCAATTCCCGCCCACTAGATAATTAAGCATCCAATGCATATTTTCAAACAGTTTTTCACACAACAGCTGAACACACTTGGAGGAGACTGCCATCTTCTGTAAACATAAGCTAACAGGCACCCATAATTGGCTAGACTACCTCCGATCATGCCTAGGAAAGAGTCGTTTTGTAGGATTTCATACAACTAATAAAATGCTATGATTGCTATCTCTTCCCATACCTATATCTTATTGACCTTTCATGCGAGATGGATATTTTACACTCTCCTGTATATAAGACTGTGTTACGAAACCGTGTTGTATGTGGACATGCATCTTCTCCCTTATGCTGTCTTTCACAGCAGTGTACAGTGATTAGTAGCGCTTTACT